ATGTTTTTAAATGTGTTTATATGTGTGTTTAAATATATATTTAATATACATATTTATTTAAATATATAACTTTTTAAAGAAAATCCTTGAGTCCATGTAGCCCATAATATTTCACAGGGGTGACAGTAACTGGGCATAAATGATTGGTTCCCTCTTTAGAGTCAATATATCCTTTTGCTCCAAGGAGGAAAAAATTGATTTTGAAAGCATTTCTATTTGAGTGTTTGCATCTCTGTACTTAAAAAGAATTCTTTAACATGCTGGGAATTATGCAATGCCCATTTCTATCATTAAAAGTTTACTGTTGAAGTAAAGTGATAGACAGTTTACCTACATTGTGATTTTGGGGGAAGAGGGAGAACAGTTATATATTCCTTGATACTTAAAAAAAGTACTTTTCCATTATATAGTCTTCATCTCAATGAGATTTGTTTTGTGCCTTTAAATGTAAAATTAAATCTATATCAAAGGCTAATAATATTTGCTGTACAATTGTTCCCATTTTTTAATGACACTAATGGTGTGGGGAATTATTTATTACATAAAATAAAGGTGTTAAGGAGCTTTACAATGATAACATTTGCTTATGTGAAAAAAAGTCTTTAAAAAACTTTAAACCAATAAGCTTTGCCTCTTAGACTAAGGTTAGGATTTAATTTCCTGAGAATTGACCTGCAGAATAGATAAGACAATTTCATTATTTAATGGCTTCTTATCATTTTTTATCATGTTAGGATCGGAAGCAAGCAGAACTTACTGAAAATGACATTGCTTCTTGTTCTGAATGTTCCTATTTGTGTGTTTTCGTGCACTCTTACACATGGCCATATTTTAATGTTAATATCTGCTATAGATGTTATTTTAGCTTCACCTCTTCTACTTTTTATTATAGCATCCTAACAATCATACTTTCTCACTTTTGTATTTCAATTAGGTCACAAATGGGGACATTGAAAGGAATATAATGATTATCAATTGTCTTTTGAATTTCACTTATTAATTTCTTTATTATTCATGGTCTATAGCATTAGAGATAACCTGGGCATTTTATATCTTAGAATTAATAAAGACATGTACCGACACACAAGGTTTTTTAGTAAGAGAATGTTCTTAGTTATGTAGGTGGTCTTTTTGCAAGATTGGGTCACATAGCAATATCTTAAAAGGTAACCTTAGAGTATTTGCAGTATTTGATTATGAAAACTACATCACATTATATTGAGTATTTTTTTCATTTGAAAAACTGACAGTTCTATATTTGGATAAAAAAATACTCAATCATTTTCTACAGCTCAGTACTCTTTGTTCAAAGGTAGAAATTATTTCTCTTCTGCAGCTACTTGATTGAATTACAGAACCACTCATTTATTTTCAAAGGTAGTATTTCTATTTTCATTTCTGTCTTTAAGTGTTCTGATCATTAGAAGGGAAGGAAGTCCCTCCAAAAAGCTAAGATCAAAGACTACTCTGTTCATAATATTCAGGCTTATTTTAAAAAGTCTTATGAATTATCAAAGATTACTGTCATTCTCTTCAAGAAAAGATCATTAAAAGTTTAATGCTGCTTTAGATATTTTCAGGTCTTTGATAGTATATGTTAAAATTTTTAGTATTTTAATAAAATTAATGAAAAATATGAATATGTAACACACTTATCTATTTAGCATACACTTTTTCTATTTCAAATTAATAATGATTACACATTTCAGTTTGTAATTTATAATTTGATAAACGTGGACATATGTATATACCTATGAAACCATCCCACAATTAAGAAACTGCTCAGTTTAGAACACCAAGTACGTGTACTTAACCTAAGCTTTGGGAATCAGAAGAACATACCTAGCCTGGTATTAAGAACACTGTTTTTCATTTAGCTTGCCTACTCTGATGACAGAAATAAAATTATTTAAAAGAGTTTTTACTTTTATTTTAGAAAAGCACGTGTTTGTGATTTCTTCTTCAGTTCTGAAAATTTGCCCATAGGCTTATGAATTAGGTAGTCTATAATTATCTTCTTAAAGAAATTAAAAATTTGTACAGATATATAGTGTAAAGCCTTAATGCTTTGGGACCCACCAGTTTAGAATATATGATCATTTGAAAATGATTCATAAAGATGTTTTTGGCCTTGTATTATCTATAAAGAAAGTGAAATGATAGACTAAATAAGATTGTTGGGGATTATATGCAGAAACTGATTAAAAAGTGAGTTTATTATTGGTATGATAATTATATAAATTATTCCATTAACCTGCTGTTATAATTAATTATAAGTTTTTTTGCAATATAAATGTTTTTATGTAAATAGAAATATGTACTAACTGAAGGAAATTTGGTGCATACAAGCAAATAAAATAACAGAGAAAGTTTTAGTAGCCCAAAATACATATTTCCTCCCAGTCTTTTTGAGTTGACAGAGTGAACTTAGGGGTAGGTGTATAAACACCCACACAGGGACATGCTTGCTTGTGTGTGTGCACGTGTGTTTTGTCATAGTTTTACAGAATTATAATCATATCTAACAAGATTTTCTAATTGGGTGCTGAGACCTTTTTGGAGTAATTTTTTCAAAATAATTTCTTGTGCCAGATTATAGGGGTATATACCCCTATTAATATATAACAACTCATAGCATTTATTGTTTTCAAGCCACTTCAAGATGTCTCTGTGAGAGCATGTTCATTGTGCAGGTATTAGGGCCTCTTGGTGTCAGTTTTCATCAGGTGTGCTGTGCTGGTCTGATGATTTGATGATTTTCCTGGGATCACCGGCAGGCTGTCATGAGTTAGGAAGTTCCCTTGTACATAGTTTCCCAGGGGTGTCCCCTTTCGTTTTATGTGACAGTTCCTTCTTTCTTGAATTTTTTATTTTGAGTTATTTCGTATTCATTTGATTTACCAATTACAATTGGATTCAGCTGCATATAAAAGAAATTTCAACATAATAGTGGCTTAAACGCAACATTTTTTCTTTCTTTCATAGGAAATAAGTCCAGAGGTAGTGATTTCATTCAGGTATATTCAGAGCATGGGACCCAGGCCTCTTCTGTCTTCCTTCTCTGTCATTCTTAGTGGGAGGCTTTCCCCTGCCGGGCCACTGTTCCACTGCATTTCAGGCAGTGAGAAATGGCCAAGGGATGGAAGAGAACCCCTCCCTGCCGAGCTAGCCTCCTCAGAATAATTGTCCTGAAGCTCTTCCTCAACAACCTCCGTTCATTCCCCTTGCCAGAGTGCAGCCTCATGGCATACCTAGCTTCAAGAGAGCCTGGGAAACGTAGTTTCTTAGTGGAGAAAATTACTACCTCAAGTAAAAATAGAGTTCATTTACTCAGAGACAAGGAGAGGCAACCGTCGGAAGTACTTACTGCCTTTCAAACCGCATCATACAACCAAGCTGTACCAAGGAATTTTCCCAAGAAAGATACACGAGTGATATATTTTTAAGGCATTGCAGAACTGGGGAACTCTTTCTTTTCATTTCACACATAAAAGATAGTTTCTCTAAGTATAATGTGATTGGGTCATAAACATTGCAAAGGTCTCAGAACACACTGTGTGCTGCTCCCTTATCACATTCGGTGTTTTGTGCGAGCTTCAAAGTCAGACTTCATTTTTCCTAAGTAACCTGTTCTGGTTGTGATTTTGCTTTGTTTTGCTCCCTCTGTATAAATAAGATTTATTTCTTGGTACATAGAATTTCTTTTGCAATGTTATGGTCTGCTAATATTTTATCATATAGAAGTATATGGTACAAAAACGAATTATTTGTAGCTTCCTAAATAAGAAGTTTTCATCTCGATGTGACTTTTCTTCCCATGGAGAAATAATATCAAATGCCAAATACCCTTGCTAAAATGTTTGACTTGCCTTGATACTGGAGATCATCCAAAGCAAATTTTCAGAAAATCTGCTACACTATCCCCAAAACAATGCCTAAAAGTAAATGTACTCCATTTCTCTCTGAAATACCTTGGGTCAGGAGTAAAATTAAACTCTGTCTATTGACTTAGGAAAGTGAATAAATTGTCTTTACACTGTTTATCTACAGTATATAGAGAATAAGAAATATGTTTTCTTTTCCTACCTAGTATAGAGCAGTATCTTCAGAAACACTTGGTGTATAATTCATGCATAAAGTTTCTAAAAGTATTAGAAATGGATTGAGGTAATCCATGTTATTTTATTCCATGAGATAACTGTTGCTGCACAAAACAGTATCCCACCTTATAACATGGAAACCCACACCTGAAACATATGTTCGTATTAACCATTGTCACCCCAATAAATTTAATAAAGTCTTTCTTTGTAAAAAAATTATCCCAAAACTTCAGTGGCTTAAAACAATAACATTAATTATCTCACAGTTTCTGTGAGTCAGAAATCTGGACATGGCTTAGCTGATCCTTGTGTCTCAAGAGTTGGGCCATATCATCCTGTGGACAAAAACAAGAGGAAATATATCATAGATTAGTCTCAGGTGAAAAACCACTGCAGTAAAAACGCCAAGCATACATACATACATTGTTTTCTCACCTTGATAATATCTGTTTGGAACTTTTGCCTTTCTTTTTTGTTTGTATTGCTACACACAGTGAATGAGTGCTACAGTAGTGCTCACAGGAGTACCTTTAAAACTTCTCTTAGTGGCAGCTCTGAAGAAGCAGAACAGCCGTGGGACAAATTCTAGGTTAGGAACAGACTTTTGTGAAAGAATCTATATTGTCTTCAATTTGCAGAAAGACTACCCTTGAAATATACCTAAACTAGCCACCTACAGCCCTAGTATTATTGAGAGGTGAATAGAATTTCTCATAGCTGTTTAAGTGATAAAGATTGGTCTTACCTATACCCAAAAAATCTCTGAAAAATATTTCCATTTGATGACTGAGAAAGATGTGTTAAAAGTTTCACTCTATTTGTGTATTTAGTATTGGGCTATTTTCCATATACAGTAGCTATAATTAATCTCTTTTTATTTCTCTCTCTCTCATAAAATAGACTAAGATGCTTGGTGAAGCAGCTGGAGAAAGGTGATGTGAACATCGTAGACTTGAAGAAGAATATTGAATATGCAGCATCTGTGTTGGAAGCCGTTTATATCGATGAAACAAGGTGTGTTTTAACCTCTCTCTTTTATCTTCTGTGCCTCTTTTCCCCTTTTCCTCTTTCTTGATGGTCTTTTATCGCAAACAAGAGTTTAGCATATCATAGGTATTTTTTTCCTTTGTCCTCAGATAGGAACTCCTCTGTTAAAGCACGGTTTGTAGTTAAAAGTTAAGAAAAAAATATCATACACACACTTTTAAATTAGAAACTCTCTGCAGAATTGTTTTCTTGGTTAACTTTCACAGAATGTATATAAATGTATATGATTCCTCTAAGCAAACAGAGATTCAAAGTGTGAATTTTAGAAGTCTGGAGTTGCTCCTGGAGTTCCTTGCTCTTTCATTTTCATGTGAGCCCTTTATTGTTCAAGAGTCGATTAAAATTTCTTAACACGTTTAAGATTTCTCCAATCTGTCCTTGGCATTTTATTTTTTTTTAAATATTTATTTTTACAACTAAAGAACTTTAAGAATTACTTGGATCTTTACATTATTTATCTTATAATGGCATAATGCTAACCATCTGGTATACCTGAGTGTTTCATCTTTCATATGATAGACTATTACATGTAATATTTATTACTTTTGCTGTCCCAGAGGTTGTAATTTCATAGATATTCTGTTAACTTAGCTCCCCACTATCCTTAATTCATTTGAACATATGTAGTGTTCCAAAGTGCAGTTCCTTTTATTTGAAAATTGCTCTTTTGTGGGAAGAAAAATGCTTTACTGCTTCATGGTACAATTGTGGGTTTCTTCTTTTTTTTTTTTTACTCAAATGACAGAACTTTTCATTATTTTATGCTTCTGTGCTTCCATGGTACCTTGATTTCTAAACTGGATTAATAAGAATATGTCTCATTTGTACCGTCTTCTAAGAACTCTTAGTTTCATTACCTCCTATTAGTCTTGCCCTATGCAATCGGCAGAGTGCCCATTACTAAGAGGAGAACCAGAGCTCTTAGAAGTGAAATGGTTGCGGGGGTCGCAGACCTCGGCTTTGCACACCTGGCCTGGACGCTGGGGATGGCTCGGTTACTGCGCTTCCCTTTCTAACGGGCTCCTTTCAGAGTATTGCTGTGAAGCTGGGTGGTTTTCAGTGATCTCTGAAAGACTCAGATGACAAAGTGCAAAACTTTCTGATAGTTGGAGTTGTAAATTCTGGAAAAACAATACCTAACATTTATTACGAATAGCCTAGTATCGTGTCTCGGTGGGTGCCCAGAGCGCTTTTAAGAACTTTAGTGCCGGTTCATTTAATTATCACAGCAATCCTTATTCATTGCTATTTTGCATATGCAGAAATAGAGTCGCAGGAAAGTTACTACCTTACTCAAAAGAACACAAAGAGTAATTTAAAGAGTAGAGTTAGGCCTTGGCGGTCCAGCTCTAGGGCTTGGCTATTGAGCACCAGGCTCATCTGCAGCCCTTAGTAATTCTGCCCCAGAGGCGATTTCCGAGACTTACTGACGCTTTGAAGGAAGCTCCCGAGCATGCAGTAGGCTTGGTGGCATCTCTCCCCACCTCTGCCTTCAGGGATGTCACGATGGGAGCATTTACACTACAGACACTGAAAAATGCTGCAAATCAGGATTTTTTTTTCCCCTGGAAAGCCTTGTGGTTAAACATTTATCGTCATGCCACTGGTTAGACCTGAGGTTTATCATATGTATCTTCTAAGGCTGAGACTTCAAGATTAAAATACCAGCTCAAGAAATTTTGGAGCAACAGTACTTGAGGTGGTTTGATTTCCTATAAACTCCATGAGATACACAGCAGTAAACAGAGGCTATTTTAGTTGAGATATGTATACAATTATTAAAATTGCAGTTACCTTAGGAGTATTAGTAAAATAGTTGATTTAGATGGAGGAGGGATGAAGAAGTGTTTAGTTGCCTTTAAACTGTACGTTAAAAACCTGCTGACCTCTGAGATGTTTTTAATGGGAAATTCTCTTTCTAGAAAAAACTGTTTCAGTGAGTATTCCAGAGAGGCATTTTATTATTTGAAATTCGGACGGGGCTGCATTGAAAGGTCAACACCTAATAAAGCAGGACAAAACAGAAATTGTGAATTGATTTAAAGCCCATAAACACACACATGCACATACACGCGCGTACACACACCTTTTCCTTGGTGACTTGCTGACTGTAGAGTTTCAGTTAAGAAAACAAATCAAAACAAAAATCTCTCTTGAAAGCTGATTTCAGTGAGAAAAATAAAAAGAGTTTCTGACAGAATTTGAATTCTGACCTTCTCTGAGAGATTATAGCACAATTCCCTAGCGAATACCACTGTTTGTTGGTTTTTTAACAAGACATTTCAAATGCAAATGCCAGTATTTTATGAGCTCTGCTTTCAGAGTGTCCCTAGAGGCTATTGTTTTTCAAAGCTACTCAGTTGTAATCCAGAAACATGTGGCCTAAAAAAAAAAAAACAATTCTGATTGTCCTTATTTGAATTGGGATACTGCCAGGCGAAGTAGCATCCTTGGCCTCATGAATTGCTAATCCGTGAAGGTAGGCCGCTGATTGGGAGGTCACTTTCGGCGGCAGATATTATGCTTACTAATACTGCCTAACAACACAATTTAGAACTTCATTTTCTTAATGTGAAGCAATCCAAGTCTTATGATAGTGAGAGCACAGACTCGATTCAGAGAGGGATCTTTCACTCGATACTCTCTTTAAGCAAGTTACTTAACTTCCAAATTTCTTAGCTTCATTATCTATAAAATAAGAATCATGACAATGCTGACCCCACAAGGTTGCTGTGAGCATTAAACGTAGTGCAAAAACTGACAGAGGAAAAGTTAAATTATAAGCACTCTTTTTAGCGTACTAACAATACGCAGACACTTCTGGGTACATAAGACAGTAAGACATATAACACCTCCTAGTGAAAATACCAAATAATTTACTGAGAGAAGTTTTTGATCATGAAAAAATAAACACAGGTGGGCTCAAGTTACCAGGAAATGAAGTGCCAACTGATGGAAAGGTACCTTAATAGGATACAAATCTTGATAAAAACATCCTTAATTGGCTTTTATGTCTTAGTGTCAAGGTCCTTAATTTCAGAGATTACCTTGAGTGAGAATGTGTGGATGAAAATCAGTACTTCAAGTTAGTCTGGTAGAAATGAATGTAATCCACGGCACCTTAAAGGCTAAGTCCCTTCAAATCGTCAAGTACTTCTACAGGGATTTACTAAAGAATATTCACTCGTGGAATGAATATTTATTGAGTGCCTGAAATGAGTACCAGGCATAACGCATCAAAATCAGGGGTACAACTGTGCAGGTAGCTCATGGCTAGAAATGAGTGAAGAGCTGGGAAAATAAACCTAAGCAAGAGGATCAGTGCTGCAAACAAGACACAGGGGGGCAAAGTTACAGAAAGTAAGCCAAGCACACTGGCAGACTGCAAAAAAGAAACACTAAGTAGCAGCCAGTCATAACCAGAGGGAGTAACATGGGATAAGTGTTGTGCAGAGTCAAGATTCCAAACCAGGCGGGGTTAAATGCACAGGTATTGCTTAATGTTAACGAGTTTTGGTCTCTGACAAAAGCTCCCCATGCCCATTCTTAAAGACATGGCTTCTAACAGAAGGATTTACGGTAAAAAAAAAAAATCAAAAAAAAAATCTGGAGCATGCTACATGTATGGGCACTAGAACTCAGAAATATGGTGCCAGTTAGAGATGTGAATTTGGGGATTCTAACCCAGGGGTCTCAGATTTTTTGGATGCTTTTATTTATTTCAATAGTTGGCACTCCTTTACTATTTTGAAATGTTTCTTATCCTAAAGTTTTTCAGAACACCCAGTGAATGTTTACTTATTTTAGCAATCTGTCCTGGCTGTCACTTTCCTCTGCAGCCAGCTGTCTCGCTTCAAACTGCTGAATTGTTACTCTGCAGGTCACCTATTTTCCCCTCATGTCCAGCAATCCAAGTTATCCTCTGGAAGTTATTTAGGAAAAGAGACTAATAGCCACACACAGGTGGAAAATATAGATAAAGATGGAGCCAACTAGTGCACAGTCAAGGGTCTTCAAAGAAGCAAAACATGAGTAGCCCTGTAAAATCAGAACAGTTAGTTAGCATTTATTTTAAACTCAGTTGCTCAGCATTCGTAACAGTGCTACAATAATTAGGACCAAAATAGAGACGATGGTCTTGTAAAACTCAGGGATCAATGTGACATGGAGAAGAAACCCTTTGTGGCTAATACTACCTACCACCTGTGCGTCATGATGGCACCAACTCATGTGTACTTCTCGGAGCTGGAGCAAGGAGGAAGGAAAAAAGAAAAGAGCTGGGCTAATGAACACTTTTCATCATTATTTCAACTGTGACAGGAACTCTGACAAAGCAGCTTAAACAAACTCTGACAAAATGCTGATGGCTAGTGTTGGCTAGAACCATAGGTGGTTCCGAGCACACATGATGTCAGCAGATCAGCCTGTTTTGCCTGCTGTGGCATGGCCTCCTGCGGCTTTGAGGAGCAGCAAGACAAGACAGCGGCAGTGTTTCCAAGCTTTAGGTCCTCACACCTTCAATCCAGCAGGCATGAGAAAGGGTTTCTTTCCCAGAGGCTCCAACAAATATAACCTTTCTGTTTCATTGGCTCTGGTTTGGTAATATGCTTCCCCCTCAAACAGTCGTATCCAGGGGAACTGGATATACAGTTCAGTGGTCAAACATCTCATGAGGCAGGTAAGAGGTCAATTTTATTTAAATCACATGCCTAAGAATTGAGAATGGAAGAGAGTGCTTTCTAAACTAAACAACAACAGTTTCTGCTCTAGGGTGAAAACTAAATTATGTGTTTTAGTACTGAACACAGGGGACCTGAACCCGGGTCTGTGTAGGATGTAGAGCTACTCTTATCCTGGCTTTGCTCCTACTGATGCTAAGCCTATGGGCAAGAGTTGGTTTTTCTCTAGTCACTGATTTCGTTACATGGAGATGAAGTCTCCAGTTCTTTTCTATTCTGGAATTCTGT